AACAAAAGATTTCAGATTTAATTTCAGTGACCTAAGGCATCAAATCCATGTGCTAATACACAAACTAAGAAAATCGCGCAATTTCTAAAAGTTATCTCGTAAATATGAATATGTCTCGAAAAATGGTTGGACTATACGTAATGCTCTCACAACTCATTACACAAGTCCTTATAAAGTTTTTTTAGATTTTATTTTCAGGTGCCCCAAGGCGCCAAATGTATGGGCTAATACACACGTAAAATCAAAAAAGTCACGTAATTTTAAAAGTTAGCTTATAAATGCAAAAATATGCTTTAAAATGGCGGGACTATATGTAATGCTCCCGCAACTCATTATGGAGGTTCTCATAAAGGTTTTTTTGATTTTATTTTTGGTACTCAAATACGCTAAATTCACCGGTTAATACACTCGAAAAATCAAGAAAGTCGCGTTATTTTTAAAAGTTGACTCATATATAGTGAAATATGTCTTAAAACAAATGATGGGCCTATATATAATGCTCCCTCAACTCATTATGGAGGACTTCATAAAGTTTTATTGATTTTATTTTCGGGTCCTCCAAGGCGCCAAATTCATAGGCTAATATACACGAAAAAACTAAGAAAGTCGCATAATCCTAAAGTAAGTTCGTAAATGCGAAAATATATATTAAAATGATGATAGAACTATACCTAATGCTTCCCCAACTTATTATGGAGGTATGCGTAAAGTTTTTTTGGATTTCATTTTCAAGTGTCAAATCCATGGGATTAACACACGAAAAACTTAAAAAATCGTGTAATTTCTAAAAGTTGGTTTGTAAATGAAAAAATATACCTTAAAATGGTGGGACTATACGTAATGTTCCCCTAACTCATTCTAGAGGTCCTCATAATTTTTTTTCAATTTCAGGTTTTGGTGCCCAAAACACCAAATTCATGGGCTAATACACACGAAAAAATAAAAAAGTCGTGTAATTTCCTAAAGTTAGCTCATAAATGCAAAAATATGCCTTAAAATAATGGCAGAACTAAAAGATGTCTTTTGGTACTCAAAGACGCCAAATTCATTGGTTGATACACTCGAAAAATCAAGAAAGTCGCGTTATTTCTAAAAGTGTACTCATATACAGTGAAATATGTCTTAAAAAATGGCGGAATTATATATAATGCTCCATCAACCCATTATGGAGGTCTTCATAAAGTTTTTCAGATTTTATTTTTGGGTCCTCCAAGGTGCCAATTCCACAAGCTAATATACACAAAGAAACTAAGAAAGTTGTATAGTTCCTAAAGTTAGCTCGTAAATGCAAAAATGTGTCTTAAAATAATGATAGAACTATACCTAATGCTCCCCCAACTTATTATGGAGGTATGCGTAAAGTTTTTTTGGATTTCATTTTCAAGTTTCAATGTGTCAAATCCATGGGATTAACACACGAAAAACTTAAAAAATCGTGCAATTTCTAAAAGTTGACTTGTAAATGAAAAAATATACCTTAAAATGGTGGGACTATACGTAATGTTCCCCTAACTCATTCCAGAGGTCCTCATAAATTTTTTTCAAATTTCAGTTTTTGGTGCCCAAAACACAAAATTCATGGGCTAATACACACGAAAAAACCAAAAAGTCGTGTAATTTCCTAAAGTTAGTTCATAAATGCAAAAATATGCCTTAAAATAATGGCAGAACTAAAAGATGTCTTTTGGTACTCAAAGACGTCAAATTCATTGGTTAATACACTCGAAAAATCAAGAAAGTCGCGTTATTTCTAAAAGTTTACTCATATACTGTGAAATATGTCTTAAAAAAATGGCGGGACTATATATAATGCTCCGTCAACTCATTATGGAGGTGTTCATAAAGTTTTTCAAATTTTATTTTTGGGTCCTTCAAGGTGCCAATCCACAAGCTAATATACACAAAGAAACTAAGAAAGTCATATAGTTCCTAAAGTTAGCTCGTAAATGCGAAATATGTTTTAAAATAATGACAGAACTATACGTAATGCTCCCCCAACTCATTACGGAGGTCTGCGTAAAGTTTTTTTGGATTTCATTTTCAAGTGCCAAATGTGTCAAATCCATGGGCTAATACACATGAAAAACTTAGAAAGCCGCGTAATTTCTAAAAGTTGGCTCATAAATGCAAATATATACCTTAAAATGGTGAGACTATACGTAATGTTCCCCTCACTCATTCCAGAGGTTCTCATAAAAAAATTTTAAATTTCACTTTTGGGTGCCCCAAGACACCAAATTCACGGGCTAATACACATGAAAAACCAAGAAAATCGATAATTTTTAAAAGTTATCTCATAAATGTAAAAATATTTCTTAAAATTATGGCAGAATTAAAATATGTCTTTTGGTACTCAAAGACGCCAAATTCATGGGTTAATACAGTAGAAAAATGTTATTTCTAAAAGTTGACTCATATATTGTGAAATATGTCTTAAAAAAATGGCGGGACTATATATAATGCTCCCTCAACTCATTATGGAGGTCTTCATAAAGTTTTTCAAATTTTATTTTTGGGTCCTCAAAGGCGCCAAATCCATAGGCTAATATATACAAAGAAAGTCGTATAGTTCCTAAAGTTAGCTCGTAAATGCGAAAAATGTTTCTTAAAATAATGACAGAACTATACGTAATGCTCCCCCAATTCATTACGGAGGTCTGTGTAAAGTTTTTTTGAATTTCATTTTCAAGTGCCAAATGTGTCAAATCCATAGGCTAATACACATGAAAAACTTAGAAAGCCGCGTATTTCTAAAAGTTGGCTCGTAAATGCAAAAATATACCTTAAAATGGTGGGACAATACGTAATGTTTCCCTCAATCATTCCAGAGGTTCTCATAAAAAAATTTCAAATTTCACTTTTGGGTGCCCCAAGACATCAAATTTATGGGCTAATACACACGAAAAACCAAGAAAACCGCGTAATTTCTAAAGTTAGCTCATAAACGCAAAAATATGTCTTAATATTATGGCAGAACTAAAAGATGTCTTCTGGTACTCAAAGACGCCAAATTCATGGGTTAATACAGTAGAAAGACGTTATTTCTAAAAGTTGACTCATATATTGTGAAATATGTCTTAAAAAAATGGCGGGACTATATATAATGGTCCCTCAACTCATTATGGAGGTCTTCATAAAGTTTTTTAGGTTTTATTTTTGGGTCCTCCAAGGCGCCAAATCCATAGGCTAATATATACAAAGAAACTAAGAAAGCCGTATAGTTCCTAAAGTTAGCTCGTAAATGCCAAAATGTGTCTTAAAATACTGACAGAACTATACGTAATGCTCCCTCAACTCATTACGGAGGTCTGCGTAAAGTTTTTTTGAATTTCATTTTCAAGTGTCAAATGCGTCAAATCCATGGGCTAATACACATGAAAAACTTAGAAAACCGCGTAATTTCTAAAAGTTGGCTCGTAAATGCAAAGATATACCTTAAAATGGTGGGACTATACGTAATGTTTCCCTAGCTCATTACAGAGATCCTCATAAAGTTTTTTCAAATTTATTTTTGGGTGCTTCAAGACACCAAATTCATGGACTAATACACACGAAAAACCAAAAATATCGCGTAATTTCTAAAGTTAGCTCACTACATGTAATGCTCCCCCCCCCCCCCCCCACGCTTATTAT